TCGCTGGGGATACCCATACCCTCCACTTCTAAGGACACGTCTCGCGCGGGAGTGGGTTCCAAAGGCCTCCCAGAAGGCGCCCCAAGGCGCCCCAGACACCCGCAAGACACACCCCCAAGCTGCCCAAGAGGCCACAGGCTCCAGTAAGCCCTCCCACCAGAGTGCACTGAAAACTGCTTCTTCGTGGACGCCCTCTTGATTGGAAGACCCTACCACGCACCTCTTGGGACACGTGCCGCGCGGGACAGGCCCCCACAGTGCCGGAAGACGGCCCAAGAGGACCCCCAGAGACCTCGAAGGAAGACCCCGAGAGGCCAGAATTCGCAGGCCTAGGGATTGACACCAACACCAATTTCGGCGGTGTGCCTCCACCGAGGGAAGAAGATCCCGATCTCGGTGATGGTGGTAATATTCTGGCTGCCAAGGTGGCCGAACTATTACCACCGACACAGAACATCTAGGATCATCTTCCCCCTGTGGAGGCAACCCTCTGTCTTGGTGTTGGTGCCAATTTCCAGGCCTCGAGGAGCCCAAGAGGAGCCCAAGAGACCTCGAAGGAGGACCCCGAGAGGAGGAGGAGGAGGAGGAGGAGGAGGGAGAGGAGGAGGAGGAGGAGGAGGAGGAGTTTCCTCATGGTTTTTTTTTGAAGGGGTTCCGCGGCCTCGCCGTTTCGGCCTCTCCACGCTCCGAGCCGGGCCCTAATTAGGGCACCCGAGGTCCGCGCCGAGAGGGCCCAAGAGGCCCCCAAGAGAGCTCCCAGGCAACCCAAGAGGGCCCCACCTCCTCCTCCTCCTCCTCCTCCTCCTCCTCCTCCTCCTCCTCCTCCTCCTCCTCCTCCTCCTCCTCCTCCCAAGAGGCCCGCAAGATGGCCCAAGACGGCCGCAATCGAGCCCTACGAGGGGGCACTCGAAACCCGAAACTCGACAGCTCGCGCTCTCCGCTTCGGGATGATCCCCGAAACCGCCAGCTGGCCCCCAAGAGGCACCCCAGACGCCCAAGAAGGCTCCCCGAGAGGCCCAAATCAGGTCCCAAGAGACCCTCGAGAAGCCGCAAGACACCCCCAAAACCGCCTCAATGAGGCTTCCGAGGGAAGGTCCCTTAGAGAGCTCTGGGACCGCGCCGGCCTCCTGGGAAAATATGGCGCCCACACGCCTCTTTTTGTTCTCCCCTCCTTTGCAAAAGGCTCTGGTCTGAATGGACGACTCATCCGTGAGTTCTTTCTGAGAGTGTTCCAGACAGGCTGGCCATCGGGGGCATGCTCCGCAGTGCATTCGATCTTCTCCCCAGCCCACGCAGCCCGCGCGCATCCTCCGACCTCCTCGGGCGGCCACAGCCACCAAGGAACATCGTTCAGAAAGAAGGCCCACTGTTGTTTGTCAATTTCCAGCCTTGGCCCTAATACAGCCTCAAGGTGGGTCAACATCATCCTGGGGCGGCCCCAGACGCCCCCATCACCCGAAGGCAGCAGCACGAAACACGAAGCAGGCAACACTAGCGTCAGCGCACAGCAACAACAAACAGCATCATCAGCAGGTAGCGGTCAGCAGCACGCACCAAGCAGACGTGCCATCAGCAGCACCTTTCATCCACAAGCAACAACAACACGCAGCAGCTGCAATAATAATCAACAACTTGCAACAGCGGCAGCAAGCAACACCACGCAGCGGCATGCGCCGAATGCGAAGGTCGAGACGCACGTTGTAATGACACCCCCAGAGGCCCCCACACGCTTCACTCCGCAAGTGGGCGTAGTCCACGGGTCAGCCTCAGTCTGCTACAACGCTGGGATCAGCGCGTGCGAGAAGGGCGAGCAGTGGCAGCAGGCTTTGGCGCTGCTCAGCGAGATGTGGGAGGCGACGCTGGAGCCCAACGTCGTCTCTACTACATTGCAGGAGCACGCGCGTGCCAGAAGGGCGCAGGCTCAAATGTCTCAAAACCGCCCCGGGCTGGCCCCGGGCCGCCCCGAGCCGCCCAGGCAGGCCCCAGGACATGTCGAGAGGGCCCCCAGAAGCCCCCAAGACGGCCCCGGAGAGCCCCGGCACGCTTAAAGATGGGCCCAAGACGCCCGAGATTCGCCCCAGGCGGCCCAAGAGGCGTCCAAGACGCCCGAAGAGGCCTCCCAAGAGGCCTCCCAAGAGGGCCCCGAGCGACAGAAATCGTCGATTTCTACTGTGTTTTTCTATGTTTTCGGCCTCCTCGCCTCGTCGGCTTCCCGACGCTCCAAGACGGCCCAAGAAGCCCCCCCGACCGCTCCAAGACGGCCGAAGAGGACCCCAAGAGAGCCCCAAGACGGGCCAGGAGGGCCCCCAGACGGTCCCAAGACGCCCCAGGACGGCCCCAGGACGGCCCAGGAGGCGCCCAAGACGGCCCAAGAGGCACCCAAGACGACCCCAGGAGCGGCCCAAGACGGCCCACGACAGCCCAAGAGGCGCCGAGGCGGGTCTCAGACGGCCCCAAGACGGCCCAAGAGGCACCCAAGACGGCCCGAGAGGGCCCTAAGAGCCCCCCCGGGAGGCCCAAACGAAGGCCGAAGAGGCTCCGAAACGGCCCCCACGAAGCCTTCAGTGCCTTCAGAATTCCCTCCAGGAGCGGGGGAGCGGACGAGAGGCGACAGGCATATTGCAGGCAAAAACGCCCCAAGAGATCCCCAAACGGCCCCCACGAAGCCCTAAGTGGCTTCAGAATTGCTTCCAGGAGGGGGGGAGCGGACGAGAGGCGACCGGCATATCGAAGGCACAAAAGAACAATGTTGGACGCTCCGAGGGCCTTCGATGTTTCTCCGTTGGGGAGAGTCGTCGTAGGATCGACGATTGCCGACCGAGGGCAGCGAATCCAGTGGAGGCCCAAGAGGCCCCCAGGAGCCCAAAAGAGATCCCCAAGAGGTGCCACGGGGCTTAAAAACTGCTTCGAAGCGAGGGGGGCGGACGAGGGGACCGCCTCAGGACGGTTTTGGACGGTTTGGGGCCTCAAAATCGTCCGCTTTACGACGGTTTTGGAAGGATTTTGGCCTTCTCGCCTTTTCCGCTTTCCGACGCTCGAAGACGGCCCAAGAGGCCTCCAAGAGCGCCCCAGAACGGCCCAAGAGGCTTCCAAGAGCGCCCCAAGACAGCCCAAGAGGGCCCCAAGACGACCCAAGAGACGCTCAAGACGGCCCACGAGGGCCCGAAGACAGGCCCAAGAGGGGGCCAAGAGGGGGACCACGGACCGAAAATCCGAGCCTTCCGCCCCAAGAGGGCGCCAGGAGGCCCAAACAGGCCCCCAAGAGGCCCCAAGGGGCCGCCAAGAATCCCCCGAAGAGGCCCCAGGAGGCTCCCAAGGAGCCCAAACGAGGCCCCTACAGAGGCCCCAACAGCTTCCAAAATGGCCCCGAAGAGGCCTCGAGCCCGCCTCCGAGCTTCCTCGCCGCGAGGGTGCCAACACGGCCCCAGACCGGCCCAGGACGGCCCAAGGCGCGCTCAAGACGGCCCAAGACGATTCCAAGACGGTCCCAGGAGGGTGCGCCCAGGACGGCCCAAGGACGCGCCCGTTCGGGGCCTCAAGACGGGCCAAGATGGCAAGAGAGTCCCAGCTGGCAAAAATCGTTAATTTTCCATTGTTTACTGTTACACCCTTTGCGTTTCCCGCCGTTTCGGCGGTCCGATGCACCAAGAGGCCCCAGAAAGTCCCAGGAGGGTCCGAGGAACCGCCCAGGAAGGCCCCAAGACGGGCCAAGACGGACCCAGCACAACCCAAGGCGCGCTGCGACGGCTCAAGACGGCTCCAAGACAGCCCCAAGAGGGTGCCAACACGGCCCCTGCTGGGCCCAGGACGGCCCAAGGAGGCGCACAGGAGGGGCCCAAGACGACTCCAAGGCGGCCTCCTCACGGTCCCAGACGGCTCCAAGACAGCCCCACGAGGACCCCGATGGGCCCAGGACCGCCTACGGACGCGCCCATGAGGGGCCCACGACGAACCAAGACGGCCCCATCAGGGCAAACGGCGCCCTCAAGACGAGCCTAGACAGCTCCAAGACGGCCCTTTGAGGGAGCCAATGCGGCCCCCCACACCCTTCGGGCGCACACTTGGGGGGGCTGGGAGCTTGCGACAAGTCTCCCACATTCATTGTCCTGCCCCATTCTGTTCGCCTGGAGGCCTCCTCCAACCCTGTGGGCGAACAAGAGGAATCCCAGCGGGACGCCAACCCTGGGGCCCGTGGGCCCCGCGCTGCTTGGGCAGAAGACGAACGCCGGGTCTGACAGGCCAGCTACCGCCCCCCTTTGCCCGATATGCTGTGCCATTCTGTTCCCCCAGGGGCCTTGGCAAACTCTTCGGGCCAAGCAGACCGGGCCCCGGGGACAGCGGCGAATTGATATGACCCTGGGACCTCTCCGCATTCTTCGGACGAGCATCTGGGGTGCCCAGGAGATTCGGACATGTCTTCCCCATTCCTTGGGCGAACAGAATGGGACATGGCGAACAAACCTTCCCGTTGGCGGTGATGCGACTGGATCGCACCATCAAGGCGCGCCTGGAGGTGATGGCCGACCCAACAGCGGCTTCTCTTAAGAGTTCACTGGATTTCGAATTTTCTTGAAGCTCTCTTGGGCCCTCCCTGTAGATCCTTGCGAGCCTCCCCGGCGCTTTCGGTGGCTTTCCCCGATGGCCTCCCGAGCCCTTCCCCGAGCGCTCCTGAGACGCCTCAGATGGGCTTCGACTTCGACGCACATCCCCGAGAGACTTCGAAACTGTCCTCAATAGGAGGGGGTGAACGAGCAGTGCGCTGGGCCAAGCTGCTGCAGCGCTGCAAGAGCTCGGACACGAAGGCGCGGTCTCGCTGCCGCCGCCCGAGCCGCCGCCGTGTTTGTAGATTTTCGGTACAATCTGCGCCGTTCCTCCGAGAACCATTCCAGAAAGATGTCGTGGACGGAGTCCACGGGTCAGCCCTAGTCAGCTACAACGCTGGGATCAGCGCGTGCGCGAAGGGCGAGCAGTGGCAGCGGGCTGTAGCGCTTCTCAGCGAGATGTGGGAGGCGACGCTGGAGCTCAACGTTATCAGCTACAGCGCTGTGATCAGCGCGTGCGCGACGGACCAGCAGTGGCAGCGGGCTTTAGCGCTGCTCAGCGAGATGTGTGAGGCGACGCTGGAGCCCAACGCCATCAGCTACAGCGCTGTAATCAGCTCGTGCGAGAAGTGCGAGCAGTGGCAGCGGGCTCTATCGCTGCTCAGCGAGATGTGGGAGGCGACGCTGGAGCCCAACGCCATCAGCTACAGCGCTGTGATCAGTGCGTGCGGGAAGTGCGAGCAGTGGCAGAGGGCTTTGGCGCTGCTCAGCGAGATGCGGGAGGCAACACTGGAGACCGACGTCATGTGTATTACAATTCTGGTCGTTGCTCGTGCGAGACACGCCAGCAGTGCGCCAGCTGCTCCCGACCGCCAGCGCTCCGCCGTTGTCCGACGGCTCCCGATAGCCCCCAGGTGGCTCCAACACGGCCTCGGGCAGCCCGAACACTGCTCCGAGGCGCTCCAGAGGGCACGAGGACGTTCCAAGAGAGCACGAACGGAGCTCCAAGACAGCCCAGGACGGTCTGACGACGGGCAAGGTGCCTCCGAAGACGGCCCGGCTGGACCTCGACGATCGCCCCCTGAGGCCGAAATCCTTTGATTTCCCCAGGGACTTCGGAGGCTGTCCGGGTTCTCGCCATTTCGGGCCACGAGCGGCCCCAGACGGCTGCAGGGCCATCCCAGATCGTTCCAAGACAGTCCAGGAAGCCCCGCCAAGTGCCCCAAGACGGCCCCAGAGGGCCCGAAGATTGCCCAGGAGAGGCCCAAGACAGCCTCATAGAGCTCCCGGTGGCCCTCAAGACAGCCCCCAGAGGGCCCTAGGAGCTGCCCAACAGGCACCAAAGCGAGCTTCAAGACAGCCCGAGACCCCCAACACGGCCCCAGGACGGCCCAAGTTGCCCCCGGGATGGACCAAGAGGGCCCCGCAGGATCCGATGACGGCCCCAGCGAAAAAACACACCCACACCATACATTTTCATAGGTCTACCACGTTCTCCCCATGACGGGCCCAGGACGGCCCCATACGGCTCCAGGTCCTTGTAAGATCGCACCGAGATGGCCCAAGAGGCCCTCACGAGCCCACCAAGACGGCCAAGGAGGGCCCCTAAGACGGCCCAGAGCAGGCCCCGAAGAGCCTCGCAGAGCTGCCCCCCGAGGCGCTCCAGGATCTGCCCAGGAGGGCCCATACAAGATTCCCAGATGGCCCTAGACCCCCATCATGGCCCGAGGATGGTCCAAGGGGCTCCCGGTACGGCCCAAGAGGGCCCACGAGGACTCCGAAGATGGACCCACGAGACCAGAAATCAGGCAACAACTATTTGTTTTCAATGTTTCCCACATTCTCGCCATGACGGACCCAGAACGGCCCCACGCAGCTTCAGGCATCTTCGCGATCGCCCCACGATGGCCCAAAAGGCCCCGAGGAGCGCAACAAGACGCTCCAAGAGGGGGCCCCAAGCCGGCCCAAGACAGGCTCCCGACGACCTCTTGGAGTTTCAGGTGGCCCCCCGAGACAATGGATGGTCCACGAGGGCGCCCCAGGGACCTTCTCCTATCTTCTCTTCCTCGGCTCCCTGCTTTTGGAGCCTGCACCCCCTCCTCTCCGGTACCGCTCTCGTCCTCCTTCCTCCTTCTCCTCCTCCTCCTCCTCCTCCTCCTCCTCCTCCTCGTCCTTCTCCTCCTCCTCCTCCTCCTCCTCCTCCTCCATTCCTTCTCCTTATGAATAACTTTTCCCTGTCGCACCCCAAGGCCCATTTTATGGCGGGCCGGGCGTTTCGCCTGAGACACCCTCACCACTTATGACCCTGAAGCTTACACATTGGGAACCGTTGCACAGATGGAGGGCGGGTGGTTTTCAAAATGTGGCTCTCGCCTTAGCGCCGCGCACATTCGTGCAAAAACATTGCAAGCGCTTCACGGATTGAGGGCGACCCGTTTTCAAGATGTGTTTCTCGCCTTAGCGCCGCGCACATTCGTTTGAAGCATGTGCCAGAGCTTCACGGATTGAGGGCGACCCGTTTTCAAAATGTGGTTTTCGCTTCAGCGCCGCGCACACCCGTTTTAAAAACTTACAAGGGTTTCACGGATCCTCTTTATCAGCGTACCAGAAATGGTGTTCTGGAAGGATTCAGGAACATGAGGGTGCAACAGTTACGTTGGTTCGCAGTGTTGACGTCCCAGGAATGGCGTTCTGGCGCGATTCAGGATCGTCAAGACGCAACAGTCAGTTTGATCGGTGGCGTTAGAATCCCGAGAGTAGTGCTTTGGCATGCTTCCGCGTCTTCAAACGATTGTCTTCCAATGAGGCAGTTCCCTCAGTGGAAATGAACCCTTGTAGGGGCCTATGAAGAGGGAGCTTGGAGGGAGGGTTTCTTCCAACGTTATTGATGGCTCTTGGGTTTGCACTGCTGCTGCTCCTCCTCCTCCTCCTCTTCCTCCTCCTCCTTTTCCTCCTCCTCCTCCTCCTCCTCCTCCTCCTCGTCCTTCTCCTCCTCCTCGTCCTTCTCCTCCTCCTCCTCGTCCTCCTCCTCCCCCTCCTCCTCCCCCTCTTCCTGCGAGAGGATGCAGCGAGTCTGGACTGCGGGCTTCCCGCAGCCCTCGATGCCCCGAGACCCCTCCCAAGGACCACTCCGAGGCACCCCAGACCCTCCCAAGTCACTCGCAGGCAGCCTCCAGCCCCAGAGCCAAGGGCCTGCAGCAAACCCGAGAGCCTGTCGGTCCCGAGCGCACACGTGCCGTCCGCGATCGGCGACACATACTCGTTCGGCACCGACACCTGGATCTGCCAGCCGTGATTCTTCCACGGGTCCACACTAGTCAGCTACAGCGCTGGGATCACCGCGTGCGAGAAGGGCGAGCAGTGGCAGCGGGCTCTGGCGCTGCTCAGCGAGATGCGGGAGGCGACGCTGACACCCGGAGTCATCTCTGCATCTTTGCGCGCGAGACGGGCCTGGGGCTCGAAAAGCCCCCCTGGCCGCCCGGGCCCTCTGAGAGCCCCTGGGACGCTCCGCGACCGCCCAGGGGGTACCCAGACGGCATCCGACGGCCCTAAGCTAGCTGTGCGACGCTGAAGAGGGCGTCGAGACGGCTCAATACTGTCCAAGACGCCGCCAGAGGGCTCCAATAGGCTTTCCCACGAGAGACAAAAAATAACACTGTTCTTTTTTTTTTTGCCGAGATTGCAACAAGACGGCCCAAGAGGCGTTCGAGAGCCCCAAAACGGCCTCAGAAGCGTTCTAGACGGCCCAGGAGGCCCCTAAGGCTGCCCAAGAGGCCCGCAAAGGGCCCAGACGGAGAACTCGAACTGACATTTCGAGCCTCCGGCCCGAAGATGCCCTCGGGAGGTCCCAAGAGGCCCCCGAGAGGCCCCAACGAAACTCCACGAGGCCCTCAGGCGGCTCCCGCGAGGCTCCCACGAGGCCCTCAAGCGCCCCCCCCAAGAGGCCACAATACTGTCCCCAACAGGCTCTTGAACAGTCCCCAAGGCGCCCTTGAGAGCGTTCCGAAGAGACGAAAAGCATCCCGGAGGACTGACCCGCAATGTAGGCACGGTGGCGGGATGGCCCGACGGCCATGAGATCCGCAGCCACTTGTCGATTCATCGCAGGGGTGCCTGGCGTGCTAGACCCTTTCGGTTTTGGTTTTGGTTTTTTTTGTTCCAAAAGAAATCCCCCGGGGCTTCGGCCCGTCCCGCCGGCCACCCAGAAAGATCTTCCAGATTGCCCAGAGGTGGTTGCCAAGGGTTTTTCCTGCTCCAGACGGCTCCAAGACGGCCCAAGATGGCCTTCAAGACGCCTCCAAGACGGCCAACATGGCCTCCAAGACGGCTCAGATGGCCCCAAGATGCTTCCAATATTGCCCAAGATGCCTCCAAGACGGCCTAAGATAGCCTCAAGATGGTTCAAGACGGCCCAAGAGGCCCCCAAGAGCCCCCCAAGACGCCTCCAAGAGGTCCTCAAGGAGAGCCCGAAGAGGCCCAAATCACTTGTTTTCCTTAGGTTGTTTTGAGGATTTGGGCATTTGCTTCTTTTCGGCCTTCCGAAGACGTCAAGACGGCCCAAGAGGCCCCCAAGATCGCCCCTTGAACCAGATCCCGATGCCGGCCCCCCAAGGCCTGATCTCGACATTGCGGGGCAAAAACGGCTCAGACGGCTCCGGGGCCATTTCAGATCGCCCCAAAGACTGTCCAGGAGGCCCGCCAAATGCCCCAAGATGGCCCCAGAGGGCCCGAAGATTGCCCAGGAGGAACCCAACGCAACCTCATAGAGCTCCTGGTGGCCCCCAGGACAGCCCCAAGAGGGCCCCATGAGCTTCCCAACAGGCACCAAAACTAACTCCAAGACGGCCCGAGACACCCTGCATGGTCTCTGGACGGCCTGATGGGCCCCCGAGGCTGCCAAGGAAAGCCCCGACATGGGCCAAGAGGGCTCTTAGAGGCTCTGGAGAGACTCTTACGAAGGCTCGAAGAATGGCCGAAGGAGCCCAGACGACGCCGTTCCCGCAGCCCCCAATGGGCCAAGAACCCTCCAAGGACCACTCCCACATGTCCAAGAGTCTCCCAAGAGACCCCGATGATTCCCAAGGGGCTCCCAAGGAGAGCGCCTCGAGCCACGACGCCCTTTCGCCGTCTCTCCAACCCCAAACGCCCCCAGGAAAGCCCCAGACCCCCAAGACAGGTCCCAGACCACTCCGGGATGCTCAAGAGCCTCTCACGAGTTTCCGATAGTCCCCACAGAGCTCCCAAGAGCGGTCCCCGGGCCACCCCCAGATGACCCCGAGTCGCCCAGAAGATTCCGATGCTTGCCAAGAGACTCCGACAGTTCCGACGGAGTTTCCAAGAGCGGTCGCATGAAGAGACTCCCATGGTTCCCACGGAGCTCCAAAGAGCGACCCCAGGACCATTCCGAGATGGCCCAGAGTCGCCCTCACGATCTCCCCCCCCCTGTGGCCGATTAGGGGTGACAGGGTTAGGTCGGGCATGTCCTCCTACGGGCGGATTCTGGAAGACGCGCAAATCATAGTCGACAAATTTTGAGCATGGTCAGAAGACAAGCGACAACTCGGCACCAGACCATGCTTTTGCCATCCCTGCACATCCCCCCCGTGGAGGGACATGCCCGACTCGAGGGTCGGCCTGGACCTCCTCCTCTGACCTCCTTCCCCCCTCCCCTCATCGAGGCTCCGGCCGCTCGGGGGCCTGCCCTCCGCCGGTTGGGGGCGACAAAGGGGGGCCCTGCGGCCACTTCGGCCGCGCCCCCTTCTGCGGCCGACTGGGGGTGCCTGCAGACACTGCTGGGACGACGGCGACGACAATGACGACGACCACGACGACGACCACGACGACCACGACGACGACCACGACCTGCGTCTCGCCCCCCTCCTACGGCCGAGTAGAGCCCCCCGGTGGCCCCCAAGGCAGCCCTTGGACCGCGAGATCCTCTGTACCCCATGGCGCAGACGCCCCCGGCCCCAGGAGATTCGCAGACAGCCTCCGGTCACGGCTCCCAGAGCCTGCAGCAAGCCCTGCAGCGAATCTCGGGGGTGGCAGGGGAGACCTTCTGGCAGAGATCTCAAAGCACGCACGCACGAGAAGTTTCCCGGCCTGTCCCCCAGAAGAGGCTCTGGGGGACAGCCCGGGAACGGCCTCAGAGGTGCCCCAAAACCGCGGGAAGCCTTCACGGCGCGCCGAACAGGCTCGCAGGAGGGCCCAACATGCCTCCGACACGGCCCCAGGGATGCCCGAGCTGTTCAACTTCGGCGAGCTGTGCACGCACGGTGTGCGAGTCCCAGGTTCAGCACACCGTGGATTTAATCCACAGGTCAGCCCTAGTCAGCTACAGCGCTGGGATCAGCGCTTGCGAGAAGGGCGCGCAGTGGCAGCGGGCGTTGGCGCTGCTCAGCGAGATGCGGAAGGCGAAATTGAAGCCCGACGCCATGAGCTGCAGCGCTGGGATCAGCGCATGCGAGAAGGGCGACCAGTGGCAGTGGGCTTTAGCGCTGCTCAATGAGATGCAAGAGGCGAAGGTGGAGCCCGCAGTCATCTGCACTACAAGTCTGGTCGCGGCGCGTGCGAAAGGTGCGCCGCCCAAAAACACGCGCCAGAGCGTCCCTTATCTCCTGGAGGGCCTCCAGGACGCATGGTCGCAATCAGCCCCAAGACAGCTCTGAGACGCTCCAGAGAGCGCCAGGACTGCCGAAGGGGAACCGAAACAGAGACCCATGACGACCCCAGAGGGCCCGATGATAGACCAGGCGCCTCGAAAGACGGCCGAGGAGGGCTCTGATGACTGCCCCCTCCGATGCAAAATCATAGATGCTCTTTTGATGTTTGGAGGTTTTTCATGTTTTCGCCATTTCGGGCCGTGAACGCCCCGGACGGCCCCGTGGGCGACCCAGGTCGCCCCAAGACGGCCAAGGAGGCCCCGACAACTGCCCCAAGAGGGCCCAAGAGCGCCCGAAGATTGCCCAAGAGAGCCCCCAAACAGCTTCATAGAGCCTCATTGGCCCCGAAGACATCCCCGAGAGGACCACAGTAATTGTCCAACAGACCCCAGAGCGCGCTCCAAGACGGCCCGAGATCCCAAACAACTTTTAGTGTGGCCCCAGGACGGCCCAAGAGGCCTCCAAGACGGCCCAAGAGGCCGCAAAATTGCCGAAAAGGGCTCCCAGAGGCTCGAAAGAGATCCCCAGGAGGCCCCGAAGAGGGTCCGAAAAGAGTCCAGACGGCAGCCTTCCCACAATCCCACGGACCCAATACGGCCCAAGAGGGCCGCAGAATGGCCGAAGAGGGCCCCCGGGGGCTCCCCAAGAGGCCTCCACGACGGCTCAAGGGAGCTCAAGATGCCTGCAGAGGCGCAGGAGGGACCCCCTATGCAGGAGGCCTCGAAGAGGGTCCGAAGAGAGCCCAGACGACGGGCTGCCTACAGCCCCATTGGGCCAAGAACCTTCCAAGGACCTCCGAGATGTCCGAGAGTCTTCCAAAAGCACCCCCTTCGCCGTTTTTTCGGGAGCGGCCAAGAGGGGGGCGTCCAAGAGGGGGGGGTGCAAATCATGACCGCCGGCATGTGCGCGGCCCAGCGGGGGGGCCTGGGACGTAATGAAATGAGAAGAGGCGCCATGAAATCTGAGGAAAAATCATGGCCCGCGCCATGAAATCCACCCCCCCCCTAGTCATCACCCCCCTCTTTTCCGCTCCCGAGTTTTGGAACCCCAGAAGCCCACAAGAAAGCCCGAGACCCCAAAGACAGCCCCAGAGCTTTCCAAGAGATGCCGCTCGTTCCGGCGGAGCTGCGAAGAGAGAGACCCCCGCCCCCGCCACCTTTCGCTGCTTGTGGCTCCCTGGGAGCTGCCTTGAACAAGGCCCCTGACCCAAAACACGGCCCGACGAAGCTCGGGAGGGAAAGAAACACACAGACACAATGAATCGTCGACTCCCCAGAAAATATGGGAAAATATGGGAATTGAGGGGGGAAGACAAAAACCCAGGAAATATAGGAATACATGGTGAATCGTTTTATTCGTGTGTATTTATTTGTGTGTCCTGGGGCCCCTTCAGAAGCTCCTCTCCCCGTCCTCATTTCTTCTCTTTGTCCTTCGCATCCTTCTCCCGCCGCAGCCTTCGCCTATTCGCTTACGAGGGAGGCGGCCAAGGTGATGTGTCGAGTGCCCTCCGCCCTGGAGTTCGAAACGATGGGGCTGGTGGGGATGAGGCTGGTCTGCTCGAGAGGGCCCTTTCTAGCGACCCTGCTGTTGCTGCCACCCCCTCACCCGCTCGACGTCTCGGACTAGAGTCAGTCGTCTCGCCGTGATCGTGATGTTGAACTCTCACTACTGAAGGATGATAATCGTTGATCCCCCCTCCAGTGCACATTGTATTTGTTCAATTGAAGTGCCCCTCACGGCGCTCGCACTCTGTTTTTTTTTATCAGGGAAGATTTTCCGCCTCAAACTGTTTTGTTGGCCCCAGGATTACAACAGCAACAACAACAACAACAACAACAACAACAACATCAACAACAACATCGGCTCCCGCCTGAGGTTTCCTTACAATTTAGCCAGGACCCCCGCTCCCGCCCGAGACTTCATCGCGTTTTATTCAGGAATCGCGCTCTCGCTTGGGATTTCCTCATATAATGTATGCAGGAATCGCTCTCTACGCGCTCTGGAGGAGTCGCGCTCTCGCTGGAGACTTGCTTGCAATGTATTCAAGAATAGCGCCCATGTGTTGGAATTTCATGCAATTTACTCAAGCGCCGCGCTCCCGACACCTAGGCACCCAGGACTCGGGATCTCGCTGCCCTTCGTGGCCCCGTTGCAGGCCTTCGTTACCCCCTCGCTGCCCTTCTTGGACTCGTTGTAGCCCGTCGAGGCCCCCTCGCTGCCCTTCGTGGACCCGTTGCAGCCCTTCGTGGCCCCCTCGCTGCCCTTCGTGGCCCCGTTGCAGCCCTTCGTGGCCCCCCCGCTGCCCTTCGTGGCCCCGTTGCAGCCCTTCGATGCCCCCTCGCTGCCCTTCGTGGCCCCGTTGCAGCCCTTCGTGGCCTCCTCGCTGCCCTTAGTAGCCCCGTTGCAGCCCTTCGTGGCCCCCTCGCTGCCCTTCGTGGCCCCGTTGCAGCCCTTCGTGGCCCCCTCGCTGCCCTTCCTAACCCCCTCGCAGCCCCTCATGGCCCCCTCGCTGCCCTTCGTGGCCCCGTTGCAGCCCTTCGTGGCCCCCTCGCTGCCCTTCGTGGCCCCATATATGTATGCCCTTCGTGGCCCCCGCCCGTTCGCGCCCGTCGTGGCCCCATGTGCATGCCCTTCGTGGCCCCGCTGTCGCTCTTTGTGACCCCCTCGCTGTCCTACGTGGCCCAGTTGCTATCCTGAGTGGCCCCGTCGTTGCCTTCTGTGGCCCCACATTATCTGCCCTTCGTGGCCCCCGCTCGTTCGCGCTCTTCGTGGCCCCACACGCATTCTCTTCGTGTCCCCGCTGTCGCTCGTCGTGGCCTACTTCGTGCCCTTCGTGGTCCTGCTGTCGTTCTCTCTCTCTCTCTCTCTCACTCTCGCTTTCGCTCGTCGTCGTCGTCGTCGTCGTCGGCGTCGTCGTCGTCGTCTTTGTCGTCGTCGTCGACGTCGTCGTCGTCGTCGTCGTCGTCGTGGTCGGTCCCCAGTCCGTCCCTCTTGGGGTCGGGTTGCCGCCGATCAGCGCTGCCGCTGGCGAGGCCGACGGTCCGCGGCCGCCCCGCCGTTTGTCGGGGCCGGGCCTGCAGGGAAGAATGGTATACCCTCCAAAATTGGCACGATCGAAGACGAAGAGGGCGGGTATCGAGGTGTTGTGAAATACGCGTTAACGGACACTCGAGCAGATAAGAGCGAACAGTCTTAACATGATTGTTGTTGTTGGTGGTGTTGATGTTGTTGTTCTTGTTGCTGTTGTTGTTGCTGTTGTTGTTGTTGTTGCTGTTGTTGTTGTTGATGATGTTGTTGCTGTTATTGTTGTTGTTGCTGTTGTTGTTGTCGCTGTTGTGGGTTATGCCTCTTCGGAGGATGCCGCTGATGGGCGATCCGTGCGGAGGCGTGTTTTTTGATTCCTATCGTCCTGTCGAGGACCCCTGATGGTGATGCGCTTGAGCAAGCTGCCAGTGAGCAGCATGTCCCCGAGCGCTCGGGGCCCGCTTTCGTGCCTGAGTCTAAGAGACGGCGTGTAGTCGCCAGTCGGATCCATCGCCCGACGCTCGCGTCTACTTCTGTCCCTGCTGCGAGCATGCCTCCTCAGGAAACTGTCCCGCCAGAGGCGGCTCGAGGACACAGATGCTGGGTTTCCCCTGGGCATGTCGTGCTGTGCGTTAGGTGTGGGTTCAGCACCACTGGCCTGGCGGGCCATCTTTGGGTTGACTGCAATCTGGTGGAATTCGCTCGGATGTCGGCTCGTACGGCTGGGAGCAGGAAGCTTCTCTTCGGGGGTCGGCACCCTGCCGAGGAAGGGCGGCCCAGTGGGCGCGTCATGCCTTTCCCCCGGGCCCTTTGCAGGCCTCCGATCCTGAAGCGCACCGGCTCCGACTCGGGCAGGCTGGCTCTAGCTCTGACATCGGGCCCCCCGATTGTTTATCTTAAGGCGACGCTTCAAGGTGCGAGAGAGGAGCACCAGCGAGTGCGCCCCGTACACTCTAGGCGATGCTTAAGAAAACCCAAGTTTTCGGCCAGAGTCTTGATATTTCTTACTGTTTCAATGTAAATCCTAAGATTTGAATAGACACTTTGGGTTTTTATTCAAGTTCTGAGACTATGAATTTCTTAACCCATAAGTTCTTAAGCATTTCGCAGGGTGTAGCCTTCCGCTTTTCTGCTGCCGGGCCATCCATGCCCCTCCTGCTGCTGCCGTCGACAGCCGTTCCTGTCTCGCTCGCGCCTCGGGCCGTGCTCCTCTTGGTGGGCCCGAGGCGGCCGTTGATGCGACGGAGATCCTCTCCCTGGGGGCCTCCAATTTCACATGGCTGCCTGGCGCACTGCGCGACATCTCCCCTGCAGCGTCGTACAGTCGGGGCCCTCAAGAGGGAACCCTTTTCGTTGGGGAGGGGCTCCGCGTTCCTTAATTGTTTCACGGCTTGCCTCAGGCTTTACTTGCGTTTCCGACAGGAAGTCGAAGGCTAATTTGTGGGAAAAAGGGGCCTCGTTTCTTATTTAGGGTTCCTCAGGTCAAGGCCCCGACTGTATACTGTTCCTCTCCCTCCTCGACGCTCCGGCCGCTCTGGGGCCCCCTCTCCTCTGCTGCTTCGGGGGCCTCCCCCCTCCTCCCCTCCTCCTCCTCCTCCTCCTCCTCCACCTCCTCCTCCTTCTCCTCCTCCTCCTCCTCCTCCTCCTCCTCCTCCTCCTCCCCCCTCCTCCTCCCTCCTCCTCCCTCCTCCCCCCTCCTCTGCACGGCCGGTTCGGGGTGACT